AGGAAGGAAGGAAGGAAGGAAGGAAGGAAGGAAGGAAGGAAGGAAGGAAGGAGAAAGTGGGAACAGAAGGGAAGAAAAGAGGGATGGAGGGACTGAGGGGAGGAAGGAAGGAAAGAAGGAAGGAAGGAGAGAGGGAGAGAGAGAAGGGAAGGAGATTTTTAGAGAGAGTCAAGAGGACAGGAAATCAATCATGCAAGAGACAGAACCAAAGCCCTTCCTGGTTGTACTGGCTGTGAATAAAACTGGCCCAAAGGCTTTTATGGGGAAACGTTACCCACTCAACCCTCTTGTGAGTAGGCGACTGACATACAGCCAGCCTGGGATTCCCTGATGGAACCACCTAAGGGAAAGTCCCCCACGGCCTCCTTCTGCCCTGGGGCCAGGACCCTTCCTTTGCAGCAGTTTACAGTAAACCTTTTTGGAAATGGCAAGGAATGAAGAGGGGGGTGCAAGGATGCCAGACAGACAAGACCATGGGGGTCAGAAAAGATCTGGCAGAGAAGACATGCTGCGGGTCCCGTCTGCTAGGGACTTACACTTGGCGGGTCCCGGGAGGTGGGCCTTCTCTGCCGTGGCACCCACCTTGTGGAACCTTCTCCCCCCCCCCCCATGTGAGGTCAGCCCCATCCCTATTTACTTTCCAGAAGTCCCTCGAGACCTGGCTTTGTCATCACGCCTGGGGATCTCAGGGGACTGGGGAGATCTTGAGGTGGCTCCCTTGCTGATCGAATCTCTTGTGTGCCGTATGCTTTTTTACACTTTTTAATAATGCTTTTTTTACATGTTCCATTGTTTTATATCTTTGTTGTACGCCACCCAAAGTCACTTCTTGTGAGACGGGCAGCTCTATGAATTCAATATATCAATAAAGAAATAAGTCAAAAGGGCAGCCCCAACATGCAATGCACTTAAAAAGAGGGTGGGGTTTTGATTGCCATCTTGACTTTTTCGACCGTCCTACCGATGCTCCTGGACAGGACTATATCACGTGTCTAGGAAGGTCCACGGTTTTGGTTTTTCCCACTTGGAGGAACGAGAGGGAGAGTAAGTACGTGGGTGTGTTTGGGTGTGTTTCTTCCCCCTTTATTTTTCCCTGCCTCGTGGGAAACGATGGTCCAATGGGATCCCTGTGCGGAACAGAACAGATGTCAAACTTAAAGTCTGGGAAATCAGCTGCTCTGAATCTGTGGATCTGAAAAGGCAGGGAGAACCGCCATTAAACCCTGGGTCAGTGAAAACTTTGGAGAGAGGTTGGAAATTTCAACAAGACAAAGATCCAAAACTTCCCACCCAAGGAAGTCGGTTCAGGAAAGAAAGATAAAGTGTTTGTGTTAGCCTTCACAATCTCCAGGCACTGATGTTATTGACAAATACGGGAGAATCTCAAACATAACGTCCGTGCAAGAAGGCTTAAGAATATTTCTGAGCAGGACAAGTTCTGCAAGGAAGTTGGAAATTTCAACAAGACAAAGATCCAAAACTTACCACCCAAGGAAGTCGGTTCAGGAAAGAAAGATAAAGTGTTTGTGTTAGCCTTCACAATCTCCAGGCACTGATGTTATTGACAAATACGGGAGAATCTCAAACATAACGTCCGTGCAAGAAGGCTTAAGAATATTTCTGAGCAGGACAAGTTCTGCAAGGAAGAGTGGGGGGAAATATCCGAAGGAAAAAACAGAAAAAACTCTTAGCTGGACACTTTGGAAGTTGTGATTTCCTCCAAAGCACCGAGCCAACATACAACCAAACGTCTGCACCTGTTTCCTTATTCTGAATCAGCAAACAACTGGATATAAATGCTAAGTGTGCATTTAAATTTAGCAGAGGGATGCCGGGTTTACTTGAACCAGGCAGAAGCTGGGTCAGTTTCCCTTCACTTAACGATCCATTGAATAATGCAATCCGATCAAAGGAGCTTAAACTTTTGCATACGATTTTATAGAGGGCTTAATTTCCGTGCTCTGCCGTAGGCTGATCTCCTGCACATCGCCAGCTTCTTCTGCATCTGCAATCAAAGCACTCTCTCTAGCCAGGCCTTGTCCTTGTGACTTCTTCTTAGGGTTTTGGAGAGGGGAGATTTATTGTCAGGCCTGGTGTGAATCTTGATGCTCGTTCTGACTAGGTGCAAGACCACGGCTGGCTGTGTGACTTTGGAGTGAGCAAAAGCTGCCTGTTCCAAAACGAATGCCTCGGTCCTTGAGGATGAAAGCAGAGGGCCTTGCAAGGTGGGGGCGGGGGGCGGGGGGAGGAAACAGCCTCAGCCCAGAAGGGAAAAAGCCTGGATGTGTCAAAACTCATCAAGGATGCGGAACGGCCCAGCCTCAAGGCAAGGTGACAAGGCTGCGGCCGGAAGGACGCTGCAGATCTTCTGGGCGTCAGCTGGCCACCAAACAGGTTGGCTGTCCTTTTTAGCAGCTTGCAAGGAGAGGGGGTGGCTTTGCCCTCTGTGTGCAGGGAAGGAGGCACACCTGATCAATTTCTGCCTTGCTCCCATTTCCAAGCGGGCTGCTCAGTCGAGCTGGGGGTGATGAAGGGCAAGTTCTCTGCTCATGGACGGTCTTCAGGGAGAAACCAACATAAGGCAGATTTTCCCAGCCGCGGTCCTGTTGTACTGGACACCAAGTTCCAGCACTCCCAGCTGGCCGGAGCAGTGGCCGGACTACCCAGGCTGGGGGGTTGTTGGAGAAGGACAGGAAAGCCACTCCGAGGACATCCAGAAGCGTGCAAGACGTCCAAGGAAGAGCATTGGCTGGCCTCTTCCCAAGTTATTGTTTCACAATGACTCGGTGTATGGGTGTGTGTGTGCGTGTGGTGGCAGTAGGACTCATTAACCAGCCCCAAACCCAAAAAGAGAACAAATAAAAATAAAAACCAACAGTAAAACCCCATAATTATAAAATTATAAATAATAGCTCCCAAATTCAGAAGAGCTCTAACTCTGGCAAGATTTAATTGCCCTTCCAACAGCTGTTTTTTGAGAGCAAATTATGGGGCATCCCATTCAAACAGACTTTGCCCCTGCCGTGAAGGAGCTCCTGAAACATTAGCCCACATTTTGTTATCATGCCCTTCTTACAAAGATGCCCGGCTGCAGCTAATAAGCCCCCACCCCGAGTCAGATTTCCAGGCCACCCAGATCTGTTTTATTGTGCTGTTATATCTGATCAAGGTGGTTGTATTTCTCTGAATCTGGCTGACTGTGGTTCCGCTGTTTGTAAAATACACCCGACTTTGACCACACCAGTTTTATCATTATTACAGCGCTTTTTACGTGCTGTCTCAGGCTTTCTTTCCATTTTGGTTTTTGAGCTGGTCAATGACTGTAAGGTTTCTCAGCCTTGGCAGCTTTAAGACGGTGACCCGCTTCCTTCTGGGGAAGGAGGATACAGACATCTACCTGCGAGGATGTGCGGAGGCATTTGCTGATTTTCTGGAAGACAAAGTCGCTCGGAGGCGTTCCCAGTTAGATGCCAGTGTGGCTGCTGGCCTAGTGGAGGTGCCCAGGGCAGTCCCTTGCCCGGTTATCTGGGAATGGGTTGATCCCGTTGCTCTGGAGGAGGTGGACAGGATCCTGGGGAGTGTGAGCGCAACCACCTGCATTTTAGACCCGTGCCCCTCTGGGCTGGTGAAAGCCTCCCGGGATGTGACCTGCAGGTGGGTTCTGGTGGTGATTAATGCTTCTCTGGGGAGGGGGTGGTGCCCCAACCTTTCAAGGAGGCTGTGGTCCACCCTCTTCTCAAGAGGCCATCGCTAGATCCCACCCTGTTGGATAATTTTC